CATGTCATATTTTCTTTAATTAACAATTTCTAAACTGAAACATTATGCACATTATTACTTATATTCTATTATTTATCTTTTTTATAAACTTGAACCTTTACTAATGTTAACTTCATCTGTTACAAAGCTACTGAAGGTGGCTTCCTGGTGAGGACTGAATTTACTACACAAATGAAGTGGGACCTTGTGATATATTACCTCAAGATTTCATACAGAATATGTGTCTTTTTAATCAAAGATTCTTATCTCAGAAGATATTGCTTAATGCCTGTTTATTTGCTTGTATAGTTCTCTTGTTAGATTGTCAAGTTGCTGACTGAATTATTTAAGTTCAGATTCAGTGCTATGCTGATATTGTTCTTTATTGCCATATTTTCTGATCAAAGAAGAAAACTGTTAACCTTATATTGCAGTATTTCTGTTATTCTCACACAAGTTATAGAAATATTAAATGTAATTTAAAGTTCATTCCACATATTTTTCTTTAATGTTTTCTATTCTATCTTATGAATCTGATTTTTCTAACTATGGGACAATTAGCCTGCTACCTCTTTTTGGCAAAGTACTAGAGTCACTAAGCAACTGACTTACAGGGTTTTTTATTTTTTTATTTTTTTTTTTTTTTTACACAAGCAATATGGCTTTCACTTCTCTAGGTCAACTGCTGATGTGTTCATAACTATTGCTAAAAGAGTCTATCAAACTTTAGATAAGAATGCTAAAGATTAAACTGTTGCTTTGGATATCTTAACAGAATTTGATAGGGTTTGGCATGTTAGTCTTCTTCACAAGTTGAAAGGTTATAGTATTTCTGGATGAATTTTTAACTGATTCAGCCTTTCTTATCAAATCATGAAATAAAAGTTGTCTTGTATAGCCACTCTTCTAGATCTTTTTGCATTAATGCAGGTGTTCCCAGGGCTCTATCCTTGGAGCTACAATGTTCTAATTTTCAGCAGACTTAACTAATGTCATCAGTTTGCAACTTGGTATCTATGCTGATGACCCTACTATCTATTCCTGCCTTATAAGTCTGACCAGTTTGATAATGTCAAATTGGCAGCTGATCTCAGAAATTACCTACAATTTGCTGTTAACTGGACCAAAAAAGGGTTTATTAATTTTAACACATACAAAACAAAAGTGCCCCTTTAATTGTCTTTGAGAACTTTTTTTTGCTTTTCATCAACATGGTGAATGCCGACTTCTAGAGAAGAGACTCATTGCACCTTCTCATGCTAACATTTTCTGCTGACATGAAATGGAAAAAATATTTTGAATCAATTGCTAGATCTGCTGCTAGGAAAGTTAGTTCATAGTGTTATACTAGATAATTTTTCACATCAGAATCTATCTTACACATTTATAAGTCTACTGTTTGTTGATGCATTGATTATTAATGCCACATCTGGTCTAGTGCCTTACTATATATTTAGAAATTTTTGATAAAATCTAGTGACGAATCTGTGGTGTTATCAGTCTTAACTTGGCATCTCATTTTCAGTCACTTTCCCACTGCCATAATGTAGCTTCCCTATGCCTTTTCTTTAAATATTTTCATGATAATTGTTCTGATGAGCTTATGAATTTAAACACAGTTGTGATTAGCAGCAAGGTCTCACCATTTTTACAGTTAAAATTACTAGATGTAACTGTAAGTTCTATGCTAACAGTTTCTTCTCTTGCACTTCTCACTTGTGGAACTCTCTTCCAGCTTCTTGCTTTCCAGTCAACTTTGATCTTCAAAAGTTTAAATGTAATGTCAATCATTATCTTCTGTCTTCTTAATTCTTATTCTTTTATTGTTCTTTCTCCTTAAGAATGTTTTTCTACTTCTCATGTTCTTTCACACTCAGTACCCTTTGCTTTATTGCTGTGCTTGGGGTGAAATAATTAAAAAAAAATGCACTGATAACACAAATGTGGTGTAAATCACAGGAAATTACAATAATTATGGGAGACATGAATGTCAAAGTAGAGAAAGAATGAAATAAGGATATAGTTGGCAAATTCAGATTAGGAATCCATAATGAACATGGAGAAAAAGATGTTCAGTGGTACTTGGTGAATAACAAAGTAATAGCAAACACCTGATTTCAAGAACACCTAAAACATTTATGGACAGGAGGAAAAACAAATAACTAAACTGACTACATAATGATCAATAAGAGATTCAGGAATGCAGTTTTACACTGTAAAACATATCTAAGTGCTAAATGCAGGAGTGACCATCATCCAGTAATATGTAACTACACAAGATAAAGAGGAACAAGGTGGCACAAAAAATGCAATACAACAGGCTCCTGAATGAATCAAATTTGGAAGAGATGTCTACTGACAGCATTAAAAGCAGATACAATGAACAAAATGAGAATGGAAATTCAAAGTGGGACAAATTAAGAGAAGCAATGTTAGCATCAGCAAACAAGATCATCACAAAGAAAACTAAACAAGGAAAAAATAATAGATACCAAATGAAATTCATGACATAATGAAAAGGAGACAGCAAACAATGCCAAAGTATGGCATAAAATATAGGACACCTCACAAAGAAATTAGAAATAAATGCAAGCAAGCAAAAGAGGAATAACTCATGGAAAAGTGTGCAGAAATAGAGAAATGAACATCACAGATAAAGCAGTTACACATAAAAGAATAAGAGAAATAACAGCACAAACATGTGCTCAGATGCATAACATCAAAAGAAAGAATTCTGATAATAGAGAAAGAAAAATTACTTCAAAGATGGAATAAATACATCAGAGAACTCTTCTACAATGAAAGAGGAAAGCTGTTCTTTTTTATGCATAAAGAAATGTTTGAAATGTTAGGTAAGCTTAATTTGTTTGGGAAGGTTATTAGAATAATCCAAAACCTATACTGGAAACAAATCACCTGCAAATGGATAGAAAATGAATACAGAAAAACAGAAATAGAAAGGGGCATAAAACAAGGAGGTGTCTTTTCACTAGACATTCAACCTATACAGTGAGGAATTCTAAGAGAATTAGAAGTCCTACCAGGATTCATTATTGATGGTTACAATCTTATCATCATAAGATATGCAGATGAGACAGTGTTAATAGCAGACATAGAAAGGAAACTACAGGAATTCCTACAGAACATAGTGACAGAAAGCAGAGAGAAAGGACTAAACATCTGTTGTCAGAAGAAAGAATGTATGGTTGTCAACAAAAAGCCCAACATATGAATTAAAAATTGGAGATACCAAAATCAAGCAAATACAAAAATCTAGCAAGTGTTTTAACATAGAATGTAAAATGTGTTAAAATCCGAAGAATCATTGGAATAGCAAAAGAGGCCTTCCAAAAGTTAAGCAAAGTATTAAGTAACAGGAAAATTGCATTAGGAACACAGAAAAGAGTACTGAACTGTTATGTAATATCGGTCCTCCTATATGGCAGTGAATGCTGAGCAGTCTCCTCACAGATGAAGAAGATGTGGAAAGAGGGTTTAACACTCACAGGACACATTGATGGCAAGAGGGACAGAGGAAAACTGTAAATAACCTATCTAATGAGCTTGAGTAAACAGTTGGCAGAACAGGGATTAGAAAAGATAGCAAAAAAACAAACCTTATTAAGAGCTACAAAGGGCAGGAAGTTGTAGAGACTCATGAACACCCATATTCTGAAGGGACACAACACACAAGAATTCAGTCTTAACCATTTTTCTTTACAAAACCATATGAACTTTAAATGCATGTAGGTTAGCCTGCTTAATGGGTCAGATAGTTGTCTATTTTCCACTGATGCCAATAGTTAATGCTTACCACTGGGTAAATGACAGGATTTCAAATACTGATTTTTAAGGCAGGCACACTCACTTCACTTTGAAGATTTGTACAACAATCTTTCTTCTATTATTTACCCTCATTTGTTCTTGCAGAGTAAGATACGGTTAATATAGTTCATGGAATTTTCAGCACTCTTCTGTACAAATTCTGTGAACAGAGCAAGTAAAGCAACAAGGAAGTTTTAAAGGGTCACAAAGAGATAGGAAGTTGTGGAGCCATGATTGTCTATATCCTGAAAGGATGTGGCACATAGAAAAAGAAGTATAGTTCATAAAAATATATGCAACTGATAATAACTAGTAACCATCAAAGTTTAAGAAAAAAGATATAACAAAAGGAAAAAGAATTATGATAAGTTAAATGATATTTTTCTTTCATTTCTAAAGTAAAAATGTGTAACTTTAAAGTATTGGCAGAGTTAAGTCTCTCTACATAATTTTCTCAAATGTTTAAATATTTTGATGATGGACGAATTAATAGTGAAGGGTATCAGAAGACCAATATGATCAGCTTATAATAACATTTGAAGTGAAATTAATTCATTTTAATTAAAAATGGTCTTGCTTTTTCTCTTGTCCTGAAGATTATTTCTAAATATTCAAAAAAAATATTTCATCTTGATCCCTGAGATATATATATCATGTTCCCCTAACAAAATTTTATTATTTTTAAATTTCTGGATAGATTTTAAAAAAATGATTTATATTGTAATAGCTGACTGAAGAACCAATTTTAAATACCAATGTTAGTTTGTTACTATGGTTTAGTACTGCTAAAATAAAAAAAATTGCATCACTTGCGTATTTTCCTTCTCATACTTGTGGATGGTGTTTCAGCACAGGTAAAATTTTAAATAAAAACAGAGACTTCAAATGATGATTTTTAGGCCAGAACAATTTTCATTTGGTTGATTGATTTGTTTTCTATGGCTTATCAAACCTTTGTCAGTTATTTAAAGCCAGAAAATAGGCTTAGATCATAAGAATTTTTTTCAGGGAGATAATAACAGTTTAATGATAAAAGTCTTACTAATTAACCCATACATGGGAAGAAGAGGTGGATTCATACCTTTCTCAAAGGTATTTGCACATAAGTTAATATAATGAATCCAATGGGAATTCAGACTCAGTTCTCTGGTTAATAATTCCAAGCCTTTATTCATTACACCACCTGCACATCCAAGCTTACAACACCTAGTATTCTTAAGTGGTTACCCATTTAGGTACTGACCAAGCTTGATGTTGCTTAACTTCAGTGATCATATGGGAATTGGTATTTCAACATGATGTGGCTATAAACCAATTCTCATTTAGAAGTGTGGCACAACTGTATATTTTTCATTTCTTCCTATTTGTTTTTTTTATATTCTGAACTTAATAAATATCAACTAAAATTTTTTTAATTAGTTTCTTCCAATTATTATCAACTGATATATTTATTCTGATGTGTAACCTCACTATCATTTTTATGGGTCTTTATTTATTAGGTTGAATCATAAATAATTTTTGTTTTGTACAACCAATTGTAATGACTATCATCATAACTATTAAACATGCATACCAGTTAAGAATAAATTTGAGATACACTAAAATACAACTGTCAGTAGACTGACAAGGATAAATCTCTACAACTGACCCTAAAAGCTGAGCTCCATCAAAGAAAGATAATATGCATTTGATAGGATCATTAGGGTATTATTTATTTAGTTCTTAAGTGCAATGAAACTTGAAATGTATATTTACATATCCAGTTATATACTTACTTGGCTTCTGCTGGGAAAGATGAAACTAATATTAGCCCAAGCCCAATGTGGGGCCATCTCCTCCAGCAGTACCTCATTTGTCACCGAAATGGGAAATTCTGATGGGACTTGAGCAATTTTTTCACAGTACTGTCAGTAAACCCACATTACACCTCAATCTTGTATCACATTTGGTAATGTTGTGAGTACATGGAAAAATACCTTTATACATCCAGTAACCATGATGTGACTATAAAAATCTAGTTGAAAAGTACTCGTTAACAGAGAAAAAAGTTGTTCTCCATGACAATGCATTCCATTGTATAGCAAGAACAACACAGGAAAAACATTTTGGAAGTCAGTTGATCTGTTCTATCAACACCATGGAGATATCTCGGTGGTGTTGGTTCTACTTCCCCGGCTATATTCACCTGACTTTCCAACAACTTCTCAAATGAAAACCAGATTCAAAAATGTGTTGAAAACTTTTTCACCTGCAAAATTTTACTCTGCTATCGAAGAGCTGTCTGACATGTGGCAACAAATTATTGCAAGTAATGGGAATATATAATTGAATAAAAATTAAAATATAATTGTACTTTTATTTTTTGAAGAAATAAAAAAAAAATAAAAAATCACCATTTATGACTCAACCTAATTACCCATTAACATATCTTTTTAAAAGGAAGATGAATATTCTTTTGAATTTTTGGAAATGACCTTTTTAAAGTCTTAAAATTAAAAAAAAAATAATTATTCTCCTTATTAAAACTATCACTTCCAAACTAGTGTTACTTATTAAGTTATTCATCATTTCTCAGAAGCAGTAATTTGAATAAATTCAAATTTTCTTCAGAATAGCCTAAGATTTAATTCTTCATTTATTTTTTCCCAATAAATTTTAATGGAATTAAATAATGTTTCCAATATAAAGTTATTTTTAAAAGTTGTGTTAAAAACAACTGTAAATAATTGCCTTAAATATTGTCTTGACAGGAAGAGCAGTTTTACAGTCTGCTTTCTTTTCTTTTCATATGTACCGGCCAAAAATCTTTTTTATTTAAACGCATTTTCAAATCTTGTGTATATCAAATAATTCGTAAAATATCATTTTAAGACCTTTCTTTAAAAATAACCATAACTTTTATATTCACATCTAAGTAATTAATAGAAGTAATCTTATCAAATCATTAAAAAACGTTGAAAACAAATTTGAGCGACGATATATCTAAGGGAAGTAACTCAGCCTAGTTTTACTTCGGTAGCAACAGGCTATTTTCACAAAATACTTGTCACGTTAACGGTAATAATCTATATAAAATAAAAGTTGATTTTGAAATAGTATGCATAATAATTTTTAAATACGGTAGTTTTTCATTAAATTATTGCTTTTAAGATTTCTGTAATATTTATAATAATCATTTATTTTAAATACATACTGATATTTTTTTCTTCAGTGTACATAATTATTTTTGATGTCTGTTTGAAATTTGTTGAATGTTTAGTGTCCATTTAAATCATTTTTTTATGGTCAGAAAATAACTACTTGCATAAATATAAAGTTACAATGTTCGGTATTTAACAGGAGATTATGAAAGTTTAAAAACAATCTCAAGGATAATTAAACACTATTTAAAGTATACATCCTATAATATTTTTTTAATAATTTTGGATGTTTTTTAAAGATGGATTTTGCAACAATCTTTATCAAACTGAATTTAAAATGTTGCTGTGTTTTTCTTAGTTAATCTTTATAAAAGCACACTGTTTCTTATGCATGCATTCCTGTGTACTTCGAAAAGAAAGAGAAACCTTAGTATTTAAAAAGAAATGAACAAAAGTATGAGTTTTCTGTCCTTCATGAATATCCTGCTGCAACAAAAGGAAAATATATTAAATACAGCTGAAATAATTTCATTTTCCAGTCTTAAATATGTTTATCATTATTATTATTAATATTGAGGAAAATAATAGTAGCAGTAATAAAAAAAAGAAAGAATCCAAGGTAAAGGGTGCTTGCTAAATGAACAAACAATATGTTTGAACCTCTAGAATTCAATGATATCTGTAACTCACAGGAAAAAAAATCTGGGTAACCTCAGCTGGTTGCTACCATTATAGGAATCTAAGTAGGAATTGCAGTGATTAAGGTGGGCAGAGAAGCTATAAAGATCCACCCAAATCAAAAAGAAATTCTGAGAATTAATTATGATGTTGTTCTTATCCTTCTCCATGTCCTTGCACTCCACCCACACAAACCTGAAAAATCTGCTGCTGCAAAATTTCTTTGTTCTTAAACAATTTGTGTACTGAATAAATCAGAAAGAAAATTAAGTATTCTTGACCTTTTTGTTTATGAATATTCTCTTCCCATCCACCCACTTTCTCTCCCCACTTTTATGCTGAACTGTTCTTTTAATCTGTATTATTTTAGTGAACTACGCCTATTTCCGACCTTGGGTATATCTACATGTAAATTTGGGGATTACATTTATTTGGGATTTGTTTTGTTTTTTTTAATTTTTATTAGATATATAAAACTTTTTTGTGTGCTAAAAACAAAATATGATGGTAGATCTTTATGTCCATAGATTCCAGTAAGTATTTTTCTCACTGAAGTAGGAAAATTTGCAATCCCAAATTCTGGTTAATTTTTGCTATCTTACATATTTTTAAAAATTGCTTCTTATGTGGAGGAGTTTTCATAAAAAAATATTAGCTGTATAGTTTATCTCAAAATAAAATTTTCTTTGCAAAGTTTTCTCATATTCATATAATAACCACAATGAAATTCAATTTAATTTCTTATTTGGTTGTTTCATATTTTATTTTTTTAAAACTTTCCCCACAAATCCATATTTAATGCAATCTCATAATGCCCTAACATAAAAGACACTCAATGATTAATTTCTAAGTGTAAATTGTCAGGGTTTCTTCATTATTATATTATGAAGTAAACATTAATACTTTTCTTTGAAAAATTAAGAGAGAAAAATAAACTGGAAAATATATTTAAAATCATAAGAATCATAGGAAATTAACTTAAATTACTTTTGTTTGTTTTTTTGTTTTTTTACTAATGTCACCTAATACAAAGCCCAAGAGGGTTATTGAAGAAGATTGTTGTATGAGCAGTAACTGTAAGAGGTGTGGTTTATGAGAACATGTGGAAAGATAATGGTTAACCATAGACTTGAAGAGGTTAAGATTGTAGTGGTTAGGAAAGCATCCTTTTGGGAGTTGATTCTACAAGTTAGCAACTTATGGAAAGAAGTTGTTCAAACAGAACTTTCTTATTATTGGAATATGAATGGAATAAGGATGATTTGATTCAGTGTATGTGGTATTTGTTGTTGCCTGGCTATTTGTTTGAAGGGATTCTAAATAAGTTATTCTTACTTGCAATCATCAATGTTTATACGAAAATATTTAAATTTGTAAAAGCAGAATTTTTATGCTTACCTAGAATTAGTAATTTGTATAGTAAGAAAAGATTTACTGTGATTTTCACTCAATTTATTTTTGTACTTTTACAAAATTAACTAAATTTTATTTTTATTTTTTAGCATTCAATCTTGGAAATAACTAGTGACCTCAGGAAATTTTCAAAAAACAAATTTTATTAGCATTGAGATCAAAAGGAAAAGCAGAATATCTGTATCACAATTCAAATCATTTCAAAAAGAAATTGTTCAAGTTTCAGTGCATAATTTAATAAAGGGTTATTTTAACAAAAGTATCAGAATTATTAAGAAACATTTACATTGAGGAACATCTCCAAAAACAATTGCTGGGTGATAGGAATCATAAAATATATCATAAAAAATATTTACTTTTATCAAACAATTCATTCAGATGGTTTATGAAATATACTTTTTGTTTTTTTGCAGTTTCTGAAAATATATTTAAATTGTTTTGAATTTATCACCAATCCAATATTGAAAGTAGAAAATTTATGCAGTGTAAAAAAAGTTATGAAGAATTTTATATATATATATATATATATATATATATATATATATATATATATATGTGTGTGTGTGTGTGTGTATCTCATCTCACATGAGTAGTCATTTCATATTTTTAGCAATATATAAAATAAATATTTATTGTAATCTAGAGGATTATTTGCTGAATGGTGACAACATCTATATGCACAGTTAAGATAAAAGCTTGTTCTTTCTTTGCAAATGTAAACAAACACTTTCTCACTGATTTGTGATCTATATCAATAGAGAAATTATATAAAAATCCATTTTTGTCAAACTATAAAATTTTTAGGCATTGTGGTGGTGAGAACATGTCAAAAAGCACAAAACATTAGGTTCTAAATCAGGTGGGAAAACTTATGTGACTGATCTCTCAGTTTTCTTCAAAAGTGACCTATAAAGAAAATCAAATCAACAACAGAATACATAAAGACTGATTTTGTAGCATAGTCACTACATCCTCTGTGGTTCACTGGTGTTTGGGTGAACTATGGGCTGCCTCAGCTGTCTTCAGGTCAATAACACCCAGTCATACAACCTCGATTTCATACTAAAAATCAAA